TAGCAAACTATTTTTATCACAGGTGCGTAATGCTTCAGAATATGTATCATTTTGTGAAACATTTAAGAATATAAAATAAACATCACGTCTATTTTTTTTTGCTCTATTTGACCATAAACATCACGTCTATTTTTTTTTTTGCTCTATTTGACCATAAACATCACGTCTATTTTTTTTGCTCTATGCTCTATTTGATTAAAAGTTCAAAATAAAAGCTAAACTGGTAAGCTTTATATTTTGTATTGTGGATATGCATTATATACATAAAACCAAAAATTTTTAAAAGGAAATACTATGACCTTATTTTTTCTTAAGAGTATTATAAGCAAGTCTGTATTATTGATAACAAAAATATGGCAGAAATATTTACCTTAAGTGAAGATGACATAACTCAAATTAGCAAGGCATTATCACTAATTTGGAGAAGAACTAAATATCGGTTACGTAATGTTACTATAACAGATAATATTGCAAATATTTCTTATGGTAAACGTATTGACAGGATAACAGTTAACCTTGAAGATTCCAATTATATTATAACCGATCAGGTTCATATAATTAATATTTTAATTATATATATTGTAATTTTTTAATAAAAGTATTAAATGGTAATCATTTTAATAATTTAACTTCTAGGATTCTGAAAAAAATTGCGATGTTGAGCATGTAAAGAAAATAGATCAATTGCAAGTAAGGTTTACATATATAATAAACCTTGTTTATTAACGTTAATTTAAGCAGCTTATCTTTATAATTTAATTTTATATTAGGAAAAGTTGCTAATTGCCGAAAAAACTTATGAAAAATTAAAAATAAAAAATAAGCAACTTAATGATGAGTTAAATTCATTGCAAATTTATAATCATAATCTTGAGGTAAATGTAAATGCATATTATATTTAGTTTTTACGTTTTAAAGATTAATTCAATTTAATGAAATTCTTAATTGCAAATAGAAAAAAATCAATAAGTTCAGAAGAAAATCCGACCAAATTAATATGTCAAAAAGCTCTTCAACAATAGTTTCTAGTTCAGATAGTGAAGATGAGGATAATACTTCACTACAAAGAAATAATGACCATATTAATATACTTGTAAATGATTTACATCAAATGGGATTTACGATAGAAAGCAATCCAGATGATGTTTGGGAGTCACTAAATAAACGTTGTCATGAAAAATTTGGTTTTGAAGAACTTATTAAAGAATCAACTGATATAGAAGAATTACGATGGGCAGAAAAAACATTACCTTCTTATACAATTTGGGATAAATTTAATCAATATTATTTACTTGTTGAACTTTGGATTAATAAAGTTAATATAACTCTTATGAAAAAAAAGGAAGAAGGTAAGAATTTCAAGTAGCAATAATATTTATTTATATGGCTTATATTAATTTATTTGTTTTATTAAAATATATTGATATTATAAATTTACCATAATTAATCAATCTATATTCTTATATTAAAAAAGGTCGTAATATGGTAGTTGAAAATTTTGAGAAAAAAGTTATTGCTAGCAAAGGTAAATGACATTAAAATATTGATAATTCTAAATTTATTTTAATTTTTATAATTTGATTGAATTTTTTAAATTAAATAACAGAATCACAAGAAAGTGAAAAGAAAAAAAAATATTCTAATTTTGGAAAAAGTCTAAATAGTTTGGTAGTAAAAACCATTGAGAACAAGACTTTAGTAGAAATTAAAGACTACCAAATTCGCACAAATTTTAACCAGGCTTTAAAAGTTATGACTTCAGAACCAATTCAAATTACAGATGAAGAGTCTGCTAAGGAAAGAATTACGCAATGGGTCGATCAAAAAAATCATTCTAAACAAGTTGAGCTTGCTACTAAAGCTTATAAGCTTTATCATCGAATGTCACTTGTTTATATTTACAATGATTTACATATCATTTCAGTGGAAAAACATCCAAATGATGAGAGAGAACAAAGAAGATTTGAACGAAACTTTATGTGCACCCAATTAGGTATTCATACTAGAACTGAACGGCGACAAAAGAAAAGTGCTTTTAGAATATATAAATTAATTAATATTGGGATTACGCTTGATCAGTTAGTAAATACTGGTCTTAACATTTCAAATTTTGAAGTTACAGATTATTATTACGATATATTTTTGACTGATTTAAAACTAGGAACGATCAAAATTTTATTTCAAAATCCTAATATGCAAGATAATATGGATCTAGATACGGAAGATAGTGAAAGTAACGAAAGCAATGTTGCAAATTAAAGTAGTTAGACATTATTATTTACTTTTTTACATGTACTTTCTCTTTTTGTTTTATTCTATCTTGTTATTAAATAAAATCAATAAAATTTGGTGGATTTACTATGAGATAATACAATAAATTTGTTTAGATTGTAAATTTACATTAAGATATATAATTTTTTGAAATAACGTTTTATCACCTGACTGATCGGCAAATATATATATGTTATATTATGACGCATTGTTACGCGTTATTCTTGGCTTCGTTCATTGAGATGGAAAATAATAACTTTGACTTAGATTCTGACTTAAGTGGTAAATATTTATAAAATACAAGAATATATGCTAACAAAGAATAGAAAAATAGAATAAAAAAACTAAAATATATTTTTGGCTAAACAGTATAATGGGTTGATATACTAGATTTTATTAAATGCAAATTTTATAAATTTAATTTAATAAAATATTTTATTTAGTAATTTTTTTTAAAAAAGGAATAAATACTAATAATTTAACAATTTATAGTTTCAGAATTAAATGTAGAAGCATTTGCAAAAATTAAAAATTTGCAGCAACAGCATGATTCTGAAATTGAATTATTAGCTAATGAACTTAATGTGCATTCATATTTTATTAAGGTAGGCAAACTTAATAATGTTTAATCCTTAAAAATTTGATATTTAAAATGCTCATTTTATATTAGAGTGTAATGAAAGATTATAGAGAACCTGCTATTAGAAAACAAAGAAAAATCAGTGGATTTAATATTTGGCAATCTAATTGGTGGGCAACACATGGAAAAGGTGTTTTTTTTTAAACTGATTTATATTACTTAAAATTTAAATTTCAATGTTTTAACAATTTTACTTTATTTTAAAGGCTTAAATATTAAAGATAAAGGGTCCCAAAAACTCTGTGCAGATGCATGGAATGCATTAAATAATGATACACGTAAATATTATGAAGAAGAAGCTAAAAATGCTGCAAATTTACGTGTTAAAGAGCAAAACTCATTTATTACAAATGCAAAATCACGAAAAACACAACTAAATAATGGAATTCAAGATATCCGAAAAATGGTAAATTAATATTATCTTGGTAGTATCTATCTAATTTTGTAATAATAATAAATTACAACTTGTAGTTTCGAACTTTACATGTTACTTGTGGCATGGAGTTTATTACATTGGCTGTATCCAATTATGATGAGCTTAGAAGTCATTGGTTTGGATCAAATATTGGTGAAGAATTTTATCAGACTTATAGCAACTTAAGTGATGCAATCATTCCATTTCGTTGTTTCTCTATTTTAAAAAAAAAAGGTATATAATGTTCATATATTATTATATATTACATTTGATTTTTTAACAACAACCTGTATGTATTTATTCTGTATATAAGAAAATGAAGGAGTAATCAAATCTGTTGCTGAAACTAAGTCATCTGAAATTTTGCCAGATGAATCTGAAACTGGACATACTTTTAATCTATCTGCTATCAATATTTCAAAACCTAATAGCATTGAAACAAGAAATAAAGTAAGATTTATTTTGCGGCAAAAGTTTGGTAAGTATTCAATTAATTTTAATTCAAGTTTAATTTAAAAATAACATTTACTGTAATTATATTATAGAACAAGATGTAAAAGGTAATAATATACCATATAAAAGATGGAAAACACAAACTTCATATAAAGTTATAGGATGGCCATTAGATGTTGAATTTCAGGATTATTCTAATCTTAAAGAAGAAGAAAGAATTAAAGTTCTGGATTCACTTTATAACATTAGATTTGAACAAAATGAATAGGATATTTGTGAACTAATTAGTGCAATAAGAATAATAATATTAATCAATAATAAATAAAATACTCAACAAGTTTAATTCATGTAATCAAATCTGTTGCTATATTATAATTTAATCAATACATTTGAATTAATTAATTTTTCATTAATAAACAGATGAATAGAAATAATAATCTTAAAGATTGATTAAATAATCATAAAATTGATTTCCGCATTTCTTACATTACAGGTTGTTTATAAGAACAAATTTTTTTGCATTTATAAAGTCTTATTTTTATGTAATATTTAGAGCTTTTCATATATATATGTGTATATATATGTGATATGTCCATTAAATCCCAGTAAATAGTTTTTGTATAAATTTATACCAAACGGGCTCATTGGCTCGAAATTAGCTCAAATTTATGCAAAAAATAATCCAAATTTAAGCCAAATTATATATGGATGAGCCCATTTGGTACAAATTAATACAAAAACTATTTACTGGGAATAATATTAATACATTTTAACATTTTAAATAATGAAATAAAAGTTAATTTTAAATTACCACTATACAAAAAATATGAATCATGAGGACATAAAAAAATGTCTCAAATTTACTAATGTCCTAAAATTTACAAGGACAACAATGTCATCAGCCCTATAAAAAAGGTTTGTGCTAAATTTGTGCCAAATGGGCTAATCATGCAATATTTATTCGAAATTTGTACTAAAAATTATATAAAATTCAAACAAATTCTAAATAAATATCATATGATTAACCCATTTGGCACAAATAAAGCACAAAATTTTTTTATAGGGCAAGACTACAAGGACAATAATGTCCTCAAATTATGAGGATAACAATATCATTAAAATTACGAGGACAAAAATGTCCTCAACTTATGAGGACAGCAATATAATCAAAATTACAAGGACAAAAATGTCCTCAAATTACAAGGACAAAAACATCCTTAAATTATGAGGACAGCAATACCATCAAAATTACGAGTACAAAAATGTCTGTAAAATTATAAGGACAATAATATCCTTAAATTTACGAGGGCAACAATATCATCAAAATTATGAGGACAAAAATGTCCTCAAATTATGAGGACAGCAATATAATTAAAATTACAAGAACAAAAATGGTCTCAAATTTACAAGCTCAAATTACAAGTATAACAATATCATCAAACTATGAGGTCAAAAATGTCCTCGAAATTATGAGGACAAAAATATTCTCAAATTATAGGGACAATAATGTTCTCAAATTACAAGAACAAAAATGTTTTCAAATTATAAGGACAAAAATGTCCTTAAATTTATAAGGATATAGTGTCCTCAAAATTTACAAGAACAATCAAAATTATGAGAATAGCAATATCATCAAAATTACGAGAATCACAATTTCAAAATTTCTCAAAATTTACAAG